GAGAGTTCTCCAGATAAACAGAACTAATAGGATACATATATGAACATATTTATTTATTTATTTTGAGATGGAGTTTTGCTGTTGTTACCCAGATTGGAGTGTAATGGCACGATCTCAGCTCACCGCAACCTCCGCCTTCTGGGTTCAAGCAATTCTCCTGCCTCAGCCTCCCAAGTAGCTGGGATTACAGGCACGTGCCACCATGCCCAGCTAATTTTTGTATTTTTAGTAGAGACGGGGTTTCACCTCGTTGACCAGGATGGTCTCGATCTCTTGACCTCGTGATCTACCCGCCTCGGCCTCCCAAAGTGCTGGGATTACAGGTGTGAGCCACCGCGACCAGCCATGAATATATTTATTATGGGAATTGACTCATGAGATTATGGAGGCCAAGAAGTCCCACAATCTGCCATCTGTAAGCTAGAGACCCAAGAAAGCTGGTGGTCGCTCTACCCAGGTCCAAAGGCCTGAGAACCAGGAGTTCCAATGTTCGAGAGCAGTTGAAGATGGATGTCTCAACTCAAGAGTAGAGAAAGAGACAGAATTTGCCTTGTCTCCACACATTCATTCTATTCAGACACTTAATGGACTGAACAAATCCCACCCACATTGGACAGGGTGGATCTCTTTACTGAATCTATTGATTCAAATGCAGGAAGCACCCTCACAGACACACCCAGAAATAATATTTTACCAGCTATTTGGGCGTCCTTTAGCCTGGTCAAGTTGATACATGAAGTTAACTATCACGGTTTGTAATGCTCCACTTCATAAACAAAGGTAGGAGAAAAAATTGCTATCATATTAGGATTTGATAAGCTGGGTTTTCACAGGTGTTCATTATATTCTTCTTCCTCTTTTTTTTTTTTTTTTTTTTTTGAGACATAATTTTGCTCTTGTTTCCCAGGCTGGAGTGCAATGGTGCAATCTGGGCTCACCAAAACCTCTGCCTCCCTCCTGGGTTCCAGCAATTCTCCTCCCTCAGCCTCCCGAGTAGCTGGGATTACAGGCATGCACCACCATGCCTGGCTAATTTTGTATTTCTAGTAGAGACGGGGTTTCTCCATGTTGGTCAGGCTGATCTCGAACTCCCGACCTCAGGTGATCCACCTGCCTCAGCCTCCCAAAGTGCTGGGATTACAGGTGTGAGCCACTGCAACAGCCTTGTATTATGCTTTATCGTATGTTCAAAATGTTCATGATAAAACAATTGGCTGTCTTTTAAAATGCTGGATAATGGGAAGAAGTTGGTATTAAAGAGTTGAGTTTTGTATCATCTTGGAGTAAGAATGCCCTTATGTGCATCTGACGCTCTTTAAGAAGTCAAAATATTTGGTGGATATGCTACTGGTTCCCCCAAATCCAAGCCCTATGTGACTAAGCTAAATCCAGTAATCAAACTCCCTCTTGCCAGTGATGGGTTCAGGAGGGCTGAGGACCCACTTCAGGCCAGGGAAATGGAAAAATAAATGGTAGGGAGGGATTCGATGAACTATTTCCTTACTCATAAGGACAGTAGGAGGAGATGGCCTCATTTCTGGACATGGTTTTTGTATTAGGCCTTTCTTGCATTGTCGTAAAGAATTACCTGAGACTGGGTAATTTATAAAGAAAACATTTAATTGGCTCATGGTCCTGCAGTGTTTACAGGAAGCATGGCGCTGGCATCTGATCAGCTTCTAGGGAGGCCGCACGAAGCTTACAGTCATGGCAGAAGGCAAAGGGGGAGCAGGTATGTCACATGGTGAAAGCAGGAGCAAGCACACTTTTAAGTGACAGGTCTCAGGAGAAGTCACTATCATAAAGACAGCACAAGCCATGAGGGATCCTCCCCCATGAGCCAAACACCTCCCACCAGGCCCCACCTCCAGCATCGGGGATTACGGTTCAAGATGAGATTTGTGCAGGGTCAAATATCCAAACTATATCAGCTGTGTTAGCTGTGACGGCTGGAAGGAATGCTGTCATATTGCTACCATCCAGAGAATGAAACCACACAAGGGAGGGCAGAGCCGAAGGGTCCGGGAGCTTAGGTGCTGGTATTGTTGAGTTTTTGGTTGTATGGTGGGCAATGCAGGTATGCGTACAAGCTTGTCCTTTTGTCCACTTATTTGAGGGGAGGTTAATTGGTTGAGGTTGAAAACAACTTAATTGATTCTGGGGACTCAGGGGCAAGGGTAGGAAGGAACTGAGGGGCAAAAGACTACACATTAAGTACAGTACACACTGCTCAGGGGACAGGTACACCAAAATCTCAGAAATCACCACTAAAGAACTTACCCATGTAACCAAACACCACCTGTGCCCCAAAAACCTATTAAAATAAAAAAAATTATAATATACATATCTGGTGAAAAAAGAAGGCATTTTAATTGACTCAGTAAATAGCTTCTAATTTTAAATATTAAACAATATATATATTCTCTTATAAACACTGAATAATACAGAATAAACATAACAGTTCCACATTGTCCCCATCCCATCATCCTGCCTGGACCATTTTTAGTACATACAGTTATTGTGTGTGTGTGTACACATATATAGTATGCCTGTGTGTATACAAGTATATAGTGTGTGTGTGTGTGTGTGTGTGTGTGTATGTATAATAAAAACACATATGTGGGCTTTATTTTTCTTCTTTTGAGACGGAGTCTCATTCTGTTGCCCAGGCTGGGGTGCAGTGGTACGATCTTGACTCACTGCAACCTCTGCCTCCCAGGTTTAAGCGATTCTCTTTGCCTCAGCCTTCCGAGTAGATGGGATTACAGGCACCTGCCACCATGTCCAGCTAATTTTTGTATTTTTAGTAGAGACAAGATTTCACTCTGTTGGCCAGGCTGGTCTTGAACTCCTGACCTACGTGATCTGCTCACCTCGGCTTCCCAAAGTGCTGGGGTTACAGGTGTGAGCCACCCTGCCCAGCCATGAGTGACTTTTAAAAAATGAAAAGACTCCATCTAATCCTCCCTGACCCAAATTGTCTGTTTTGAGCAGTAGAGAAAGGTAACAGTCGAAAATTCCTATTTTTTCACCATACTGGGTTGAAGGATCTGTGGAGTTACCCTCTGGTAGAGGCAGTCAGAGCCTTCGAAAAGGGCATTTTTAATCCACGGGGACTTCCTGAGCTTGGCTGGACCTCCGTGGTGCTGTGCATGAGACCATCCATCACTCAGACACTCAGCGAGCCCACTTCGGCCCCCAAGAACCCTGATGAGGGTCTTCCTGCCCCTTAGACATACTTGGAGTAACAGAGACCCCAAAAGCGACAGTTGCTTGAGGTCAAACAGGTGTTTAGGAGCAGGGCCACAAGCAGGGCTGTGCTGTCTGCTGGGCCATCATCTTTTAGCGCTGTGAGGAGGAGTGTGGGGATGAGATGGGGACACAGGAGGCGGCTTGGCTCCAGAGCCCGCTCCATGGTAGACCGTGGAGGAGAGCCCAGGGTTTCATGATCACTTCCTGCTTGGCTTGGGAAGGTTTAATTTTTTTAAAGAGAAACACTGGATACTTCCCAAGATTTTCTTGGTCCCCAACTCAGGCCGACCCAGTTCTTACACTCGGCCTGGGGAAGGCAGGTGAGGAAGAGGCCATCTTTGGTCTCAGAGCCCAGGTGCGAAGGTCGTTTGGCACCATCTCTCCTGCCTGCCAGATGTGGGCAGAGCCCGTCAGGTTCTTTCCCTTTGCTCTCTCGGCCGTTTCCCCTACACCCGCAGGCCTTCCATAACTCTTTGGACTGAGGCCCAGGGCCTCGCAGGTAATCACCAAGGAGCAGGAACTGCACGGTGCTCCTCAGATCCGCGTGCCCGAGGTCACCGGGGAACAAAGAAGTTATTTATTTTTCCTTTTAGCTCAGACGAAGAGAGAGGGCGTTGTCTTCCACAGAAAGGGCTGCGAACTCCGCCCTCATCCCCCTTTTTCTTAGCCCTTCCGTGCGGGTGCAGCTGTTTAAAGTAAGGCCCAGAGTCTCCAGCACTTTGTGGAGTGCTGGAAGAACGCGAGCGCACGGGAAAGTCTGGGCCGGCGGGGCGCGGGAAGCCCCATCCTCAGCCGGAGGAGAGTCGGGGTGTGTCTGTGTGTGTTTGCCCGTCGGTTAAAGGCCCCATCGCCCCCCGGGTCCCCGCCCTGCCCCAGAAAGCGTTCCCCAAAAGAACCAGGAGTCCTGCGCACCTGGAGCGCGCTCCGCGTCCACGTCCAGAGGGCGCTGCAAACTCGCGCCCGGGCACCGACTGCCGCCCCTTCAGCCCCTCCCCCGGGCAGCGCCTCCGCACCCCGGGCCCGGGTAGAAAGGGGTGCGCCCTGGCCCCACCACCTAGGGAGCAGCCGAGCTGAAAGGCCCAGAACCTCGGCGTGTGGGGACCACAGCTCCCGAACGCAAGGCTCGGCCACCGGAGAAGCGGGAGCGGAGCAGGCACGGACCCTAGGGGGCAGGCCGGGGGCGGGGCTGGGGTCGGGGGCGGGGCGTTCCGAAGGGGCCAGGAGGGGTGGCTCGGGGGGCGGGGTCCTGGGGGTGTAGACTGGGGCTGGCCGAGACCTGGAGGAGCTGGGGGTGGGGGGCTAGTTTTTGCAACGGCTAAGGAACGGCCTGTGGGTTTATTATAAGGCGGAGCTCGGCTGGAGAGGTGCGGGCCGAATCCGAGCCGAGCAGAGAGGAATCCGGCAGTGGGGAGCGGACTCCAGCCGGCGGACCCAGCAGCCCTCGCCTGGGACAGCGGCGCGCTGGTCAGGCGCCCAAGAGAGCATCGAACGGCGCAACCCGCGAAGCCGGCCCGCAGCCGCGACCAGCGCAGCCTGCCGCGCTCCCGCCGCCGGTCCGGGCAGCATGAGGCGCGCGGCGCTCTGGCTCTGGCTGTGCGCGCTGGCGCTGAGCCTGCAGCCGGCCCTGCCGGTGAGTGCGGCCCGCGGCTCGGCAGGGAGGCGGCGGGAAGCCGGGGCTGGTCACCCGCGGATGCCGGCGGCTGCACGTGGAGGGGGAGGGGGAAGGGGAGCGGGACTTCTCTTCTTCCCGCCTTGATCCGGCGGGTCCCGGGACGGTGAGCCCCGAGGCCAGGGCTCCAGCCCCAATTCCCTCCGCTGTCGATGGGCGCCGTACTGGTCTCGCGCTGGGGAGGAGGGAGCCGGGGCCCCGCGCTCAATTATGTAAAACGTCTCCACATGTGTCGGAGCCCGCCAGCCCACAGCGGCGCCCGGGGTCGCACGCTCCCACCCCCTTCGCCCCGCCGCCCTCGTCGGCGACCCGGGGGAATGCAGTGACCGCGGCCACAACGCCCTTCCCGCAGACCCTAATTCAAACCAGACCCGCGGGCTTGCACCCCAGCGCCACCGAGCCCGGGCGCCCAGCCCCTTGCGCCCGGGCAAGTTTGGGCGCAGCGCAGCCGGCGCGGGAGCTGGCGGGCGGGTGTGTTGGCCCCGGGAGACCGGCCAGGGCTGCGTGGGGGACGCGGGCGAGCGGCTCCGGGGCCCTCGGGCTTGCCGTGGGCCGCTCGAGGTAAGCGGGGCCGGCCCGGCAGCGGGAGGTTCCGGGAAGTTGGTCTCGGAACGCTGGAGACCCGGAGGAGCTCAACTTCTGGGCTGCTGAAGTTGAGCTGGCCCCGGGGGCGCGTTCCCGTGCTGGGCATGGCCGGGACGCGGGCGCCTTCCACGAGAGGGGACCCGGGAATGGCCTCCTGCTCCCCGACTCGGCTTTGTGCTGAAGCCGCGCGGAGGGAAGGCGGGTCCCTTGGCCCGCCCAGTGGAGCTGGGGAGAAAGAGGGGCAGATGTGGAGCTCGAGGCTGGAGGAGGCCTTTGGGTGAGATGCAGCATCCACCTTCAGCGGGACTCAGGCTCCACTAAACAGGGACGTGGCCGACAAAGAGCAGCCCGAGGGTCCCCAGAAAGTGGCTCTCCCGCCCCGGCCTCGGGCCGCTAGCCCGCCTTCCCCAATGGGGGCGCTTTGTTCTCGGCCCCTGTAACCCTTTCCTGGGAACCGCCCCACAGCGCCGGCCTTAACGGGGGCTGGGACTTGGGCCACCGCCAGGTGTCAGCGCGGGCCACCGGGTGCCTTCGTCCTCCTCCCCAGCCCCCGGGCCCGGTGCTGGCGTCCCGGAGTCCTCCCGGTGGGCCGGCTCGGCCATCCCCAGGGATGCAGAGGGGAGGTGCAGAGCCAGGGGCACTTCCCCTTCCGGAAGTGGCGGTCTCTCGCCACCACATCTGGACAGCTCGACTTCCCCAGCTCTGGCAAAGGGAGGCACGTGGGCAGGGAAGGGGCGGGGGCAGGGTGAGCATTCGGGTCCTCCACTGCTAATGTGACATCTGGACAAGCCCCAGCAACACTGACCCTCCGTAGGGGTTGCCCTCTGTGATAGCTACCAGTTATTGAGCGCTCTGGGAACGTTTTTACAGGGTCTGGCTCATGGGAGGTGAGGTGGGGACAGTCGTTTTTGAAGCTGATGTGTAAAGTGCCCTCCCTGCTTCCCAGGTGACTCGTGCTTCCAGACATTTTCAGGTCCCGGAGAAGGTCCCAGTGCCTGTTGAACTGCGGATGGGCTGGACTGTGTGGGGTGCCGAATCTGGGAGGACGGGGAGGGCCATGATTTCCGAGCTGGGTCTCAGGCACTCCTGGCTTTCAGGTTCAAGAAGCTGCTCTCTAGGGTGGTGGTTTCTGTGGGACTGAGCCTGTGCGTGGAGTCTTCGCTCCGACTTTGGAGAAGAGAGTGGGACTGCGTGGCTTACCTTCCTTGACCTCCTGCCATCACCACACTGCCCCATTCTCTCCAGGCACATGCTGGGGCCTCAGTAGGGGCGGCTGAAGTTGGGTCCTCCACCTATTTCCGGCTGGATTTAGGAGGGCTGCTGGTTCCCTTGCCTGCCTGGGGTAGAGTAGCAGACATTCTAGAGCCCTGGGATCCCCCCACACCCCTTAAGGCTGGGGAGGCAGGTGGAGTCTGGGATTCCCTGTGGACTGCCTTTCCTGGAGTTTTCTGTGGGCTGGAGCAGAGGCTGCAGTGTGAGGCATTATTTCTTGCCCAGAAACTTGGTCATAGGGCCCAGGAGTCAGGAAAGACTCAAAAGGGGAAAGGAGGGAGGGACTCCCTGGAACTGCAAGGAGGGAAGGTTTCCCGGAGGGTGAAAGCCCCACCTGAGCTTTGGGGTCAGACTCTGGCTTGTAGCTTAGGTGTTCCTTTTGCTTTTTCTGATCTTACAAAGTTTAGGTTTTTTTCTTTCCCATTTCTGCCCTCTCCGTCTTACAGTGACTGTCCATGTTGGGTTAAAGGTGGGGACACTCATTGCCTTCCGAGAGCTCTGACACCCCTTTCCTGAAAGAAATCAGGCAGTTGGGATTTGCTTAAGATGGGAGAAGGTGTCCACAAGTGGCAGAGATCTGTTCGTCTCTGAAAGTTCACTATGGCCCCAGTGGGAAGCAGGTCAGAAACCCCCTGGGGACTGGGGAGGCAGGGAGTGACTGAATGGGTGAGGGGAGGCTGCTAGGAGAGGAGGTTGCTCAAAACCACTCCCAAGAGACTAAAACAGGTTTGTCTAAAAAGGTTTCTCTCTCTGTCCTTTTTTCTCTCTTTCTTTCTGTGTGTGTGTATGTGTGTGTGTAAGTGTATGTGTGTGTGTATGTGTATGTGTGTGTATGTGTGTGTGTAAGTGTATGTGTGTATGTGTGTGTGTGTGTGTGTGTTTCCTGTGGTCTTTTGTTTCTGCCATGTAAGAAACATTGCTTATTCTGGAATAGTTATTTGTTGTTTTTCTTCCTTTCTCTCTTCTCTTTCTTGAAAGGCATAAAATCCCTTTTGCCCTAATTATGGGGGCTAGTAGAGACATTTTCCCACAGCCTGGCAGAGAGGGTAGAGGGGGAGGCAATAGCTGCTTCTGCTTGGGCTCAGAGCCTTCTAGAAGTGATGTCACCCCTGGCTTGGGCTCCACAGGGAGGGTGGAGCTGGTTTAAGTCTCTACCTGTGGCTCCTGATGGGTTCCACTAAAACCTCATTAACAACACACATTGGTAGGGAGACAGTAAGAAAGGAGAGAGCCTGCAAAGAATTAATGAAAAGATTGATTTCTGCAGTTTTTTAGAGGAATCTTTTCTGTTGCAGCAGAATTTTGGATTCCTGAAATCCCTTGGGAATGAGATGTCCTGTGTATTCATGTTTTTTCATTGATCTAGAATCCCTATTACCCTTAAAAGTATTCTTACTCTGAGCAGGACTCTCTGAAACATTTATTTCCCTTCCTTTGTCAACCAAAAAATGCTAGGCATGATTTAATCTCTGCATGCCAGGGTCGTCGTCCTCATTAGTGCCAGGTTAGGACATTGTCTCCTGGATTTACTGTGCTCTGAAGAGCACTTTGCCCCTGTGCCTGGTGTCCCAGGTCGCTCTGTTTGGAATTCTGGTCTTTCTCCTTTTTCCATCTCTGTCTGAGAGAAGCCAGAAGTGACATTTACATGCCTGAGTGTAGCCAGCCGCTTTTCTGTTCAGTTCAAATTAGAACTTTTCAGTTGTTACTTCAGTTGTTCAAATAGTTACTTTTCTCCAGTGGCACTAAGAAACTAATTAGTTGGGTTAGGTTCATTTCAGGCTGAGAGTTTTAGGCTCTGGGTAAGGTTCTCGCCTGTGAGTGAGACTGTTGATCTGTGATATGTGGATTTTGTACCCTTCATGAACTTCAGCTGGGACCTGTTGCGGTCTCCCCTTTACCTCCCTGCACCCCACCTAGAGTAACAAAGAAGTGCTGCCAAGGTAAGGCCTTTAGGGGCCTCTCTAACTGGACAGAAATGAGTCACCTCTTGGGGAAGTGCTTGCTGGCCCCCATGTTTCAAGTTCCTCAACCTGGTTCAACTTGTAAGTGACTTGCTGGTCAGAGGTAGCCTGGACTGACCAGTTGAGGCCCTTATTCTTTAGACTTGACTGTTATGCTCAGCTTCACCAAGTTTGATTTGGATTTTATTTCCTGTTTCTATATAATCTGCATCCATACTGTGTGGCAGGCCAGAAATGGCTTTGGATAAAGTAGAGCCCCAGGACTGTGTCTCAACTCTGCCACTCATTTACTCCCTAATCTGGGGTGAGTCACTTTTCTTCCAAGTCTTGTCCTCATCTGTAAAGCGGACATCATGATACCTGTTCTCCCTGCCCTCATTCTGTCATTTGCATATTCATTTCATAATGGATATGTGAAAGTACTTTGTGATGAAACTGCCTGAGGAAAGTTAGCTGTCAATATCATTAAGGTTACCTTGTTTTGAGCGCCTACTGTTGAGGGCTCAGTACTTTTCCTTTATTCTTATTTAAACTTGACCCCAATCCTTTACAGTGTATATCATTGCCTCATTTTGTGGAAGAAGAAGCCGAAGCCTAGGGTGGTGGGCCCTGCCACTGGCTGAGTTGGGATTTGTGTGCGTGTGCATGTATATGGGTATGGTATGAATACATTACAAGGCTGTCAGGTCTCCCCTGAGAAGCCTGGCATCTGGGGACTAGCTGAACCCTGCAAGGCTCTGCTGGGCATTTGCTTGTCTGTCCTGAAGAACCATGGGTGTGAGTGTTTTGGGCGAAGGGGCCCAGGCTGGGCTCAGCTGGCCTGATCGGTGCCATCAAGCAAAGTGAGCACTGGGTAACATTCTGGAGTTGTGTTGGGTTCAACTCATGGCCGCTTAGGAACAGGCGAGAGCTCCTCACAGGAACAAAACGGGGAGTTGAGAGCCAGGTGGGAACTGTGGATTGGGCGTGGAGGGGCCTGTTTGGACGGTGTCCTCAGGCCAGGCCCCAGGTGGTGTCCAGCTTGCACCATCTTTTACCTTGGGCACTGGGGAAACATTCATGGAATTAGCAGATTCTTTTGTAAGCCTGGGAGGTAGGCAGTGTGGCACAGGTGATGGCCAGAACCCAGGACTCCTGGCTCTGGTGCCGCAGTCACCTCCTGGTTTCCTCCAACGCCAGGTCCTGTGGGGGTGGGGGCAGCTCATGAGGAACTGGTCATTAAGTGATTGCTGGGCTTGAACTGCTGCCCGATTGCCTTCTTTTCACCAGCCAGTTTTGGAGTCTTGGGTTGAAAGGGCCCCTGAGGCCCTGCCTAAATGTGTCTAGAGAAGAATGAGATTCAGGGATTTTGTGGAAGGAGGACTTCTGGCACCAGGATTCTGTACCCCCTCACTTCTCTCTCAGTTGTTCCAGCAGAGGCTGGGTTTTGGATGGGAACATGCATTCTGGAATCTTCCACTGAGTGAGATGTGACACACCAGGTGAGGGCCACAAGGAGGCATGTTTGGGGTCGTGGAGGTGAGGCACCAGAGGCAAGACCCTGGCTTGTGGCCACTTCAGCAACTGTCATGTCCAGCTGCAGGTGGTCGCGGGGAGCCCACGCCATCACCTCCCCTGGAAGGGTGAACTTTATCTGTGATGTTACTGCTTCTACCCACCCTCAGGAAGCTTCCATTTGGGTGGGGAGACAGTATGAGAAGGTCCCGGGCACTCCTGAGACAGGCACACCGGGCCAGCTCGCCTGTGCTCAGTGCTGTGGGGATCTTGGGGAAGGGTTGTCTGAGACTCCCCTGGAAAGTGACCTGCTTTTTGGCAGGGCCCGGAAGGGTGGGGGCAAGCTTACAGGACAAAGCAGGGTGTGCCAGGGGAAATCTTGGGACTTGGGGCCATTGAGTCATGAGAGCAGAAGAGACGGCGGGTGGACCTGCTCCTGCACATGCCCAGTGACCTCTCCCCATGGGAGCCCCTCAAGGGCCTCTGAGCTCCTGGCTTTTATGGCTTCATGGCTGCCTAATTCTACACAGAGGATGCGCCTCCTCTGGCCATCAGCCCTGTGAAAAACTCTCTGCCCGGTGATTCACCTGCGGGTTCCAACACCATGAGATGCCTGCCCTCTGTGTGTGTGTGTGTGTGTGTGTGTGTGTGTGTGTGTCCACGTCCGTATGTCTGCATGTGTGTTTGTATTTGTGTCTCTGTGTTTGTGTTTGTCCGTGTGTGTGTCCATGTGTGTCTGTCCGTGTGTGTGTGTGTGTGCGCGCGTGTGGTGTGGGGGGTGCCTACTGCACAGGTTGACACTGCAGTTGGGCCTTGCCTAGGCACCCCTGACTTTCCCTTTGGGCCTTCCTGCTTGTCAGGTGGCAGCCTGGTCACTACCTGGCTGCAGCTTCCTTTTTGGACACCAGCTTCCTTTCTGCCTCCTATCTCTGCTGGTCGTCTTTTCCCTTTTTCACTGTGACTCTGACATTTCTGATGGACTTGGCCTTGGAAGTTATTCCCACAGAGATGGGCAGTAGGGTCACCTGAACTTCCTGGTTTAGATGAGCTTCCACTAGGTGGCTACGGCAGGCTGTTGCCCCTCTGGGCCTCAGTTTCCTCCTCTGCTGAAGGGTCCTTTTTCCCTTCCTCAGTTCTGAGAGCCACATGGCTAGAGAGAGACCTTATCTTGGGAAGGGCGGAGGTGGCACTGAAGGACTTGCTGGGGGCTCACATTCCTCTGCCAGGATTCCTTCTGGGGACTTGAGGGAGAACTGGTTTCCTAAGGGGCCATTGGTGGGATGGCCTGGGCCAGTGGAGGGCAGGGTAACCTGCTTGAGGCGGGGATTTGAGCTTCTTGGGGAGCTGTTGTGGACAGAGGTGCCTGGGTGAGGTCGGGCCAGGGGTGGGGCTGCGTGATGTTCTCTGCATACACACCCAGGCGTCCTGGCACCTGCCCGAGGTCCGCTCAGCAGCAGGAATGAATGCCATGGCAGGCAGGTTGGGGCAGTGGGGAAGGTGGGCGGTTGATCAGTCCACTCATCAGCTGAGTCATGGCGCCAGGCCCATGGGTCCTCTCCAGAGACTCGCCCAACCAACCCTGACCCACTGCAAGCCCTCTGGGGGCTGGCACGAGGTGGGGAGTGCAGCAAGACACAGACTGGGGCTCAGGGGCCTGGCTTTCCCTCCTGGCCCTGCCTCTTTACTGTCAAATGGCTGTGTACAGAGCCCTCTCTTGGCCTCAGTGAACCCATCTGTGAAATGGGGGAAAGGGGCAGAGAGGCAATACTTTTGTGTGCACGTGGCCTCTTGTGTCTGTGTCGTGTGACTGGTGGGTATCTGAGGGCCTGCCTGTGCTCCTGCTGCCTCCAGTTCTGAGAGTTTATGACCCCTACCTGGCTTGACCAGATCTAAAGCCCAGAGCCTGGGCACCTGCTGTGTGCATAGCCCTGTGCGGTGGGGAGAGGTCCATGTCTTGTCCAGGGGATTCCTGTGAGAGAGGGTGGCTGTTACTGGAACCAGATGAGAGAGGTGCAGATAGAGATAGAGAGAGGGGCAGATATCTCTGCAGATAGGCCAGAGTGGCAGTGACGATGAACAGGGTCTGCGATTCAGCACCCATCATGTCTCCCCAGTCAGAGGAAGGGTTTTGCCCCAGAGTCCCATGATAAAGCAGTATGGAACTAGGAGCTGGGCTGTCAGCCAGGACATTTTATGGAGCCCTAAACATGCAGGACGGCCTTCTGGCCATGGGAAGTGTCAGGGCAGGGGGTCTCTCGGTGGGCGCTGCAGAGGTTGCCTGTCCTGCGCTAGGACCGCTTGTGTGCACCATGGATCTTCACAGGTGTTAAGGGAACTCTTCCCACAGTGGGGTGAGCTGGAGTTCATAGTCATTTCTACCTGGGGCTGCCTGGCTCTCTCTGAGCATCCTCTGTGCTGCTTAGCAGGCTGAGAGACAGCACTCTGGCGCCTGGCCTGGGAGGCGTAGGGTGAGGATTGTATGTCTGCCAGGGTGGGATGTGGGGAGGCTGGAGGAACTCCTGGAGGGCCGAGGAGCTCATGCCTGCCCATGGTATTTGTCATGAGCTGGGTCCCAGAAAGCTTTTTTGAACTTGGGCCCTGGCCCTGCTGTTCCCATGCCACCAATACCAGTGGTCACCGCTAGTGCTCCACGGGCCTTACCTGGTTGGGAACTTGATTGTGTCAGAGTGGCACTGACTCTACCTCCAGTAGCTTCCTGGCATCCCGGCTGCCCAGGAAACTGTCCGAGACCTTGGAGGGCCCATCTCTCTGGAGTGTTCCGGATGAATACGGTGGTCAGGTTTGGGCTTGCAGAGCCCGAGGCTGTGGGGTGTTTCAGGAGCCTCTGAGACTGTCCTAGAGGCTGACGTCACTCTAGCTTCTCCCAGAGAAAGCCACAGGGTGTGGTGCTGCTGTGGCAGTGACCGTGTCGCTTCCAGGACGGGGTGTCGGGGACGGTCCTGGCAGCAAGACCTCAAGACTGACTAGGGCCTGTAGGGCTGAGGACCAGTCATGGGCTCCACTTGGGATGCACCTCCCCCACCTCCCTCCCTGAAAGGGACCTGGGACCTGGGGGAAGAGTACAGGAGGAGTTTCCCTGGGGCCAGGCCTGGGAAGTCCAGGAATCTCACCACTGAGTCTCCCTGGGTGAATCTGCAGCAGTAACTGGGGTGTCTTGGCTCAGAGAATTGTAGGAAGGGGATACAGCCCCCTGCCATCCTCCCCGCGCTCCTGTGAATGAGGCTCACTCTTCTAAATCCTATCTGGAGGCTGGGTGTGCAGTGGGCACTCTGGCCCGCCTGCCTGTCTTCCCTATGTGAGGGTAGTCACCTGAGTCTGAAGGTCTGGGTCTGCCTGCCTTTGGGGGGCCGATATTGAGTCTTGAGACCTTGGGGCTTGACAGGCAAAGTAGGACAGAACTCGCTGGCTTCGTTAGTCCCAGCTCGGGCTGGAGCAGAGAGGTGTTGTGGAGGCAGGGAAGAGCTCAGGACATGGAGTCTGGCCCACATGGATCACATTTGGACTTCATCACTTCCTCCCTGTGTCATCTTGAGTGTGATTCTTCACCTACCCCAAGCCTCAGTTTCCTCATCTGTAAAACGGAGTTTCTCATATCCTGCCCCAGAGGGCTTCTGCAGAGATTCCCTGAAATACCATATGTGATATGATTGGGGTCCCTTCCTTGCCTGGAGCACGGAGAAGCAAGTCTAGGGGAGCACTGATGCTGACCTGTGGGAAGGGGTGGGTCTGACCCAGCCTGAGCGTGGAGTCACTCTCTGAATGGCCCTCTGGTCTGACCCCAGTGATGCTGACGTTAACAGGACCTGCAAACATGGCTTTTGCCCCGTCTCAGAAACATGAGCCTTCACTGGCAGGCCAGACTTTGCTCTCTTCCACCCCAGCCTCTGCCAGGGGCTGCCTCCTGACCTGAGAAGGTATGGGCTGGGCTGGCAGGTGGGAGGTAGGGGCTCAGGCCTGCCAGGCAGGGCCCACAGAGCTTGAGACTGATGGCTGTCCTGGAGTGGGAGCCCTGGGTTCACTATGGCCACTGACAGAGCGGGGCCAGGCTGCAGGGTGCTGCCAGTGGAAGCCATGGCTGTTGTGTTCCTGAAAGTGAGAGAACCCTGTGGGCCTCGCTGCGACGGGTGCCTCATGGCACGCCTGCTGGAGCAAGACTGCTGGCTTCAGTGGCTGTGTGCCCTGGGACAGATGACATAGCTCCTTTGCCTCAATTTTCTCATCTGTAAAATGGGCATGGTACTAGAACCTAAGGTGATCGTGAAGATGAAATTAATTAATTCAGAAAAAGTCCTTGGGAAAAACGGATTGCCAGCTGTCTGGCCCAGAGGACTCAATAAACATTAGCTGTGATCACTTTTATTCACTCTGCCCCCGAGAGCCTAATTCAGTTGTTTTATTCTTCAAGTAACCTCCAGCCTTGGTTGGATGCTTAGACTCTTCTCTCCCCCAGCCTCCTGGTGGTCCCTGAGATCTGGGCAAGGCGTATGGCTCCTTCCCTTTCCCAGGATCACGGTGAGCTTTTCAGATGGGAGCTGCGCTCTTCCTCGGCGCTGCCTACGGAGATAGCAGCGATCTCCTGGTCGGCATCATGGCCGCCCTTAGACCCCTTGTGAAACCCAAGATCGTCAAAAAGAGAACCAAGAAGTTCATCCGGCACCAGGCAGACCGATATGTCAAAATTAAGCATAACTGGCGGAAACCCAGAGGTATTGACAACAGGGTTCATAGAAGGTTCAAGGGCCAGATCTTAATGCCTAACATTGGTTATGGGAGCAATCAGAAAACAAAGCACATGCTGCCCAGTGGCTTCCGGAAGTTCCTGGTCCACAACATCAAGGAGCTGGAAGTGCTGCTGATGTGCAACAAATCTTACTGTGCTGAGATCGCTCACAATGTTTCCTCCAAGAACCGCAAAGCCATCGTGGAAAGAGCTGCCCAGCTGGCCATCAGAGTCACCAACCCCAATACCAGGCTGCGCAGCGAAGAAAATGAGTAGACAGCGTATGTGCATGCTTTGTGTTTAAATAAAACTGGAATCTTCCTTAAAAAAAAAAAAAAAACAGATGGGAGCTGCATCCAGTCTTCCTTTCAGCCATCTCAGCACCAACCGTGTGCAGAGGCTGTGAGGGCTAGGAGCTCTGTGCTGGGGGTTCAAGGCTGGGCAGATCTGCCAGCCCATCAGAGGGAGGGCAAGCCACTTGGCTTGGGGCTCCACCAGTAATCTGGAGGATCGACCCAGCCTCTTCAGACACAGCCTTCACAGAAAATTCTGTCTCCCATCACCCAAACCAGGAGGCACCAGCCCTGCCTTCCCATGGGACCCCTTCAAACACACTCTGCCCTTCCTGTGTCTCTGGGTTTCCCAGCAGCCTCAGCGCCTGCTCAGTCTGAATTGTGCTTTATCTGAGAGGCACATTCCCAGGCTAGCCCATTGTTGTCTACCTGGGAGGAGAAACCATGTACATCCATGACTCTAGGAAGAGCAAAGAGAATTTTGTCCTCCTTTCCTGGGTATGGCATTGCTGGCATCCACATTTTGACAAAGGTTAAAAAATTTGCCCCTGACATCTTCCAGCCTCTCTTTTGTAATCCTATTCCATCTCCCTGAGCTCCCACACACCCTCAGTGCTCCAGTTCGAGTTAGCCCGTCCCCCCTGGAAGTGATTTATGCTGTAGTGTGAGTGCCAGCACCCTTTAGCTCTCCCAGAAGACTTGTTTTCAAGGGGATATTGTGCAAGGACAGGGACACTGATAGAAGAGATTTTGGTAATAAAGTTGGCACTTGTTCCCCTCCCCCACCTTCACACAGCTGGAGCCCTGGCTGGCTGCAGGTGTGTCAAAAGCTGCAGTTTCTGCCTCTGTGAAACTTGAGGACACTTTATTTAGTAAGTACAAGGGGAGGATGTCCCTAGAAGTCCATATTGGCAGAGGTGTCCAGTCCCCAGGCCTGGTGGATACCTGTTCCAGGGGACTCCCTGGGGACTGATGGGGCCGTGCTTCCCAGTAGGGGCCGACTGGGGAAATCTTGGCTGAGATTCTGGCCTTGATGGGCTCCTTAGGGGCAGCTGGGTCTGGGGAAGGGATAGCGCTCTGGAGGCTTGGCTGCCCCCTCTGTCCCCATAGGGTGCCCGTTGCCCCATAGTAATCTTGATTTAGGATATCTCTGGCATCCTGCCTAAGCCATGACTCCCCTTGGGAAGCTGAGGGTGATGATACTGAGTCAGTGTGATCAAGTGTCCCTGTGTGTCCCTAAGGAGGGGGTGTTTGACAAGGAAATTTGCGAGACAGACCCCTTGTTTGGCTCCAGAGAGGTACCAGGCGCTGAGGCTGCAGGGCCTGGGCTGGGCTATCTTGCTCAATGCCTGCCTCGGTGAAATCTTGCCCTGCCTGGCCTGGCCTGGGTTCTGCCAGGTGGAGAAAAGCAGAGGAACTGGTCTCCCAGCTCTGTGGCTCCACACCCAGCCCTCAGCTGAGGCTGTTCCGAGACCAGTCCTGGCATGTGGGCTGCCGAGGCAGGCGCCAGCTCTGTGGAAGGGTGCTGGGGGCAGCACTGGTTTGGCTTGGGCGTCAGAGCTGGCATGGGGCTGCCAGGATCCCTCCTCGTTCAATAAATGCCCCAGGTATACTGTGAGCAGGCAGTGTGGTACAGGGTAGAGGGCCCAGGGCCAAGAGGCTTAGGTCTATGACCTTGACCTCAGGTTTCCCACCTGTAAAGCCCTGACATCACATTACATGGAAGATGTTACCCGAAAGCGGTCTTGGCCAACTGTGAATGCTGTCCCTCCACCCCGGCCCTGGCCTGGAAGCCCCCAGCGCAGTGAGGGGTCCGTCTCTGAGTGGCAGTGTGGGGCTGTGTATGGGGGGTGCCATCCAGAGTGTCCCTGAAAGGTGCTCCTCCCTTTGGAAATGCTGCTGGGGACACCCTCCTCTCCTGCCTATTTCTATCCCCCTCCTGCCCTGGCCAGGCCCATCACTCCTTGCCTGTCATATCCTCAGCAGGCCCCAGCTTGCCTGGTTCTCAGTAGAGAGCCAGTGAGCTGATAAATTGCTGTGCCTGTCACCGGAAATGCTGATGCTGCCTTGAGGCACTGGTGAGGCTCCTCCCTCCTGGGAATGGCTTCAGTGGGGGAGATTTTGGGTCTTGAGGCCTAGACCCGATCTGTGGCCTCAGCCTCTCTCCCTGGTGGGCTGTGTTTTCCCGGCTCCTGAATTAGGAAACAGGCCTTAGTGAGGACTTCCTCCACAACCCCGATGCTGGGGGAGCCCAGTGTCTCCTGGCCTGTGGCCCTGCCCTCCTGCCTACTCCCACAGGTGCCATGTTTTGGCCAAACCCCCATTGTACAGATGGGCAACCTGAGGCAGGGTGTTTCCAGCAACATCCAGTAATTTAGGGACAGAGACCAAACTATCACCAGACCATCCCCATGCTGGACCTGGTCGTTTTCCCTGGGCCACCCTGTGGTGGTCAGTGTGGTAGGTACCTGAGGAGGGGGCATTTGGTGAGTCTTGGGGGACAGAACCCCTGCCCAGTTCCCAGAGCAGCACCAGTCGCTGAAGCCAGCAGGGCCAGCCTGTTGGCCATAAGGCAGTTTAGCATTGTCCACCGAGCCCCTTCTGGCATCAAGGTGGGGAACAGGTCTAGAGAGAGGCTGAGAGCTGCCCAGGTCCCCAGCACGGCCGCATGGCAGATTCTAGCCCTTTCCCGGAGACCCTGGCTCCTGGGTGCTCTGGTCTGACCTGCCTGCCCAGGGCTTAGGCCATTTCAGTCTGGGCTGAAGGAGTGGGTCACAGGTCTCCCCACAGAGAGACGGCAGCTGCAGATCCAGGGGCACAGCAGCGTTTGGGAGGCAGTGGGACTGGGAGGGGCTGTTGCAGCTTTTTCTTCCCTGTCCTCCTACTGCTGCCCCTGGAGGAGCAGACCCAGCCCCTGCAGCCTATGCTGCCCTCCAGGCCCCACCTTCGTCCCTGGAGCCAACTTGCCTCTTAGCTCCAGCAGCTCTCTCCTGCTGCCCCGCTGGGTCCAGCCAGGCTGGCTGGTGGGAAGGCAGTGGGCTCAGCCCCAGGCAGGAAGGAGCCTCAGCTCAGCTTCAAGTAGATACTTTCCCAGTCATATAGGTGCCACTGGATGTTCAGTGGGTCCTCAGCCCCGGCGGGAGGGAGGCCAGGCCACCACCATGATGTGCTGTGTCGGAGATGCAGAGAGGACACTGCTGGGCTTTCCCTGGTTCCTTTGCCATGCGAGCTTGTTCACGGGGCTCTCTTGCTACTCACTGCCTTGACTTGGAACACTGGACTCAAGTGAAGCCAGCTCTTGCCTCTCCCAGGCTGGGCCACTCTGGGAGATAACTTTTCCTCTCTTCATTGTTTTCAAAGTGCAGTCTGAAGAACCCCTACAGGACCTGGGGCTTGTGAATGGCAGAGGCAGCCTCTGGGTGGGGAGCTGGGAAGACTACATTTGCAGTGGTCTCCTGGTGGTGCTTAGAGACCCTATAGCTGAGAGCCCCCAGTTTGGATGCAGGTGATGGTTTGGATGTTTGGATGTCACCCTCAGCCAGTATGGCGTCTTGATGCAGAGGCGGAGGTGAAGGCTGGGGCTCTGAGGCTCAGAGACCTCAGCCCCCAAGTTCTGAAGTCTAGGGAAGGGGAGAGTCAGCCTGTTTTCCTCACATTTGTGGATCTGGACGAGAAACCGAGGGGGTAAAAAAGATTTTTTTTTTTTTTTTGAGATGGAGGCTCACTCTTGCCCAGACTGCAGTGCAGTGGTGTGATCTCGGCTCCCTGCAACCTCCGCCTCCCAGGTTCAAGCGATTCTCCTGCCTCAGCCTCCTGAGTAGCTGGGATTACAGGCATGTGCCGCCACCCCTGGCTAGTTTTTGTATTTTTAGTAGATATTAGGTTTCACCATGTTGGTCAGGCTGGTCTCAAACTCCTGACCTCGTGATCTGCCCACCTTGGCCTCCCAAAGTGCTGGGATTACAGGCATGAGCCACCACGCCCAGCCGTAAAAAAGATTTCTAAACAGCTATGACCCTGTTTCAAGCCTCCTGAGGAAATTTGCCATTGTGTGGAATCTGGGGATGGGGAGGGTGGGTGTCTAGCCTGCCATGACCACGGGTCCTCCTGCCTCTTGACCTCGAAGCCTGGGCTCCTGGAACAGGTCCCACAGCCACTGCCACAGCCTCTGGTCCAGGCTGCTTGTGAGAGGCCGTGACCCGGCTCCTTTGATAAGGGGCAGCTCTTATCCCTGGTTTGTTACTAATGGGGCTTGTTGATTCAGTGACTCGGCTCCCACAGAAGCTGGGTTTTCATGACCACATGGGTCAGGTACAGCGGATGGGTCAGCTTCTCTTTCCTGTTCCACCACAGGACAACTGGGAATCAGAGACCCACCACACTGCCCAAGTTAGTGCCCAGGATGAGCATTGTCTTATCCTCTCCTGGGTTGGGTCGGGGGCTTCAAGGCCTGGCCCTAGTACCCTCCTTAGGGCAGCCCTCTGGACTCCAGCCTCTGAAGCGCCCCCATTTTCAATCCCCCTGGAGCCGGACACCTGGCCATATGTCCTGGGTAGCTGAGAGCTCAGCCAGGCCAGGACCAGACTATTTCTTCTCTCTTTTCTCCCAAAGCTTCTGGTGTGATCTTGGCTCACTGTAACCTCCACCTCCCGGGTTCAAGTGATTCTTCTGCCTCAGCCTCCCAAGTAGCTGGGAGTATAGCAGTGCACCACCACGTCTGGCTAATTTTGTATTTTTAGTAGAGATGGGGTTTCACCATGTTGGCGAGGCTGGTTTTGAGCTCCTGACCTCAGGTGATCCACCTGCCTTTGCCTCCCAAAGTACTGGGATTACAAACATGAGCCACCTTGCCCTCCGTCAGTAATGCTTTTTAAGGAATTTGGGTTTTACCCATCACTCACTTTAAGCAGCAGGTGACCCATGTCAGTGATTCAGAGTATGGGCTGGAAACCAAAGGCCTTCTGACCTGGTGGCCTCAGGCCGATGGGGTAGGAGTGGATGGGAAGTCTCTCAGGTTAGTGACTGGGCCTGCCACCCTCTCTTCAACCTGTCTGAGATGCCCACTGGACATCCTGGCTTCTGATGCAGCCGGGGCACTTTTGAGCTGTTTTGCAGAGGAGCTGCAGCACTGCTGGCCTCAGCCCCAGCCCCTTATCTTCTCCTGGGTCAGGGGCTTCAAGGCCTGGCCCTAGTACTCCCCAGGGCAAGGGGCTCTGCTGAGACACAGGTTGCCCAGAAGGGTGGCCCTCTTTACTTTTGCTATGGGAATGACAGCTGGCAGTTAGCTTGAGGCTGCCTTCTGGAAGCTTCTCTGCCAGCCCTCTGCCCACAGACTCCAGATGTGCTCTTTGGAGTGGGTGGCAGCCGGTGAAGATAGCTTCCCATCCCTGGTGGCACAGGTCCTGTTCTGGTCCACACCATTCCCTCTCCACCTCGCAAGTGTGGGCTGGTCCCTGGGTAGCTTCACCACTGGGGCAGGCTCAGTGATTCCTAGTCAGTGAAGCTCTGTCCCATTGAGGAATCTTAAATGGGTTTCCCTTAAAACTGATGGGCTCAGCTAGGAGGACTGGGGAGAAAGAAGGGGATGGCAGGTGAGGAGAGCAGCTCTGCTGCACAGGAAGGTGTAGTGTCTGGGCCACCCTGGGCAGGTCCCTTGCCATTCAGAGGCTCTAGTCCTTATCTGCTAGAGACAGTGATGTCTGCCCTGCTGCCTCATCTGCAGGGGAGTTGTAGGGATGAGAAAGGAATGAGTGGAAAGTGTTTCCAGCCTTAAAGAAGGCCTCATTTCTTCACACCCTCTTTCTTGCTGGGTCAGAGCCTTGACTCCAGGACTCTCCATGGTCCCTGGGAGACCATGTAGGCCAGGAGACCGGTGTAGCTGAGATGGAGTTGGGCTGACCTGACCGTTCCTCTCTTACTCCCTTTCCCAGACTCCTGGAAGCTGCCCCTTGATCCCCAAGCTTCCAGGCGAGCCAAACCTTGGGCTTTCTAATCAATGAACTTCTAGGGTCTCCGCTGTGGGTGGGGAAGGGGCAAGGCGTCCCTTGCTTTGAGCAAACAGAACTAGTGGAAGCCTAGACCTTACCTCGCATGAAGTTGTTGATTTGTTCTATGGACTGTTGGTTTTTCTGGGACTTACAGAGGTTAAAGGCTGGTTTGCCTGTTGCCTTCCTGGGCAGGGCATGAGGTGGGCCCCAAGCTGAGGCTACCTGATCCTGAGCAGCCTTGAGCAGTGGTCAAGCAGCCTCGGAAGCACCCAGTTGGAGATGATGCTGAGGGAGCTGCCCAGGAGGCCTGGAGGCGGTGTGCTGCAGGCTGTCAGCGCAGCAGGCCTGCTAAAGGAAACCGGAAGCCTCGCCAGAAACTCTAGAGTCAGCTGGCACCTTGGTAATCCAAGTTCACACTCAGCAGTTTCTGCTAATTTCCTCCCCAGGGGGCTGAAATCTTACCTTCTCCTCATCTGAGGGGCTATCACTGAAGGTTTAAGCTGGAGAAGATTTGGGAGGTCTCTCTAGCCCACCCCCTTAGTGGAGACCAAAGGCCCAGAGAGGGGAGAGGCCCCTGGAGGCCAGGGAGCTGGTTTCAGTGGAGAAAATGTTTAAGAGCTTGTTGTGTAAATAAGATTGCAGAGGGATAAGCCTGCAGAGCTAGGGAACAAATTGTTTCTACGGACCGGACCGCAGACTGAAATGCTCATCTGGCCAGGAGAAAAGCCCTGCTCCTGGGAACTTGTTAGCCTGTTGGGGCCTCCATGGCGTTCCTGGGTCTCACCGGGCGGTGCCTCCCAGGTTATACATGGGCCCGAGTGTGCGTGTCTGCTCTGTGGGCATTGGTTACCTCATCTGTTGAATGAGGCAGGGATCCAGTGTCTGACTTCTGCTTTAAGATTTGGTGCTCTTTACGATGCAGCGGAGGCACGTGGGATCGCAGCGCCAATGCCTTGCCCCGTCTCTGCCGCATCTCCAGCTTTCTCTTGAGGTGGGTGGTGTAGCAGGAGAGGGCAGGGCAGAGTTCTTGGGTGAGAGTGAAGCCGTGATCTCAGTGAATATGGGAGGGGGTACCCGCTCTGTGTCCCCTGGCAGGCAGTATTCTTCGTTGATGAAGGGGACAGGCCTGAGGGAGGCCAGGGTAGCTTCAAAGCTCTGTGGGGCAGCACTGGTGTTTGCAGCACCATGTGGAGATGGTGTAGTTAAATGTGGCCTTTTGTGGATGCTGGGGGAGCATGGACTATGACTGTTTGCTTTTATTGATTGATTGATTGAGACGGAGTCTCGCTGTGTCACCCAGGCTGGAGTGCAGTGGTGTGATCTTGGCTCGCTGCAACCTCCGCCTCCTGGATTCAAGGAATTGCCCTGCCTCAGCCTTCCAAGTAGCTGGGACTATAGGCACATTCCACTGTGCCTGGCTAATTTTTGTATTTTTAGTAGAGATGGGGTTTCACCATGTTGGCCAGGCTGGTCTTGAACTCCTGAGCTCAATTGATCCTCCCAAAGTGCTGGGATTACAGCCGTGAGCCACTGTGCCTGGCTAATGACTGCTTATTGTAGATAGGCCTTGGTGGATTCTGTTAATTGTAGATGAGCCTTGGTGGAATGTGACTGTTCACTGTAGATGGGCCATGAAGGGCCCTTCTAGGGTCAAAACCTTTCTCTTGAGGGAAGGAAGGTACAGTTTTGCTCTTGTACTTTCAAAGGAAGTTCAGTGATATTTCTGACCTTCTGGTTTGTACACGTGTCTGACGCTTCCCTCTGACCTAGGCCCCTGGATGTAGAGCCTCCACCTGGTCTGACTCTGCCTTAGGAGGCGGGAGGTCTTGTCTGTCCTTCCCTGCTCTGCACTACCCAGGAGTGACACCCGTGGGCCTATGGTCAGGGCCTGGTGAGGCCTCTTGGGCTGATGAGGCCCTTTTCCTTTGGAGCCCAGCCTCAGGCGGGCCCCCTCTGGCAAGTCAGTGCAGAGGCTCCTGATGAACTGACTGATTCCTGCCCCTACCTTCTCATGAAACCCTGTCTCCCTGTCTTTCACCCTTTTTCTAGGCAGGTCTGCTGGCATCTGAGGCTCCCTTAGTTAGACAATGGCCACTGTTTGTGTGTGCCTACTACGTGCTAGGCATAGCCTCATTGAATTTTTGCAGCAGTCCTGAATGTAGATGTTATTATTTTCCCATTTTACTGATGGAGAGACTGAAGCCCTAAGAGGCTTAATGACTTCCCTGGACCATGCACCTAGTGAGTGGCAGGGTCTAGAGTCCCTAAAGCTCGTGCACTGGACCATGCTGTTCATCTTTATTCATTCTTTGTTCTGGTCCAACACTGGGGCCCTCTCAAGATAGACTATGTAGTAAGTGGGGTCTTTAGGTCTAAATCTCGCGGCTGAATAGGGCTCTCAAAGCCATGCTTCTTGCCACCTGGCTGCTGGGTTCTCCCTTCCCTACCTGAGGTCCTGGGGCCAGTGTGAAGGGCTGAGGCAGTCCTGACCTGCCCTCCATGCAGACCAGGGTTCTGCACAGGCCTGCTCACTGTGTGTGATGTGATCCTGCCCCCCACCCCTGCCCCCAGTCTTGCCAGTCAGCCCCGGCCTCAGGAACTTGGGAGAGCTGTGTATGTTTACCCTCTAGCTCCTGCCTGCAGCCTCTTGGAGCTGGGCAGGTGGATGGCATTCCTGGGGCTGCTGTTTGCAAGCAGGGCCTGCCCCAGGCCCACAACCCACTTAACTGGAGCCTTCTCAGTGCAGGGCCCCTTCCAGATTAGCCTTATATGTCCCCTTCCTGAGTTGCACCCTGTCCTTCCTTCCCCAAGGAGGACAATACTCTGACCAGAGGGCCTGTACCCAGTCTTCACTGTAGATGGGAACTGGGCTGAGTGTGGGAAGGTGCATGGGGGCCAGGCCTGGGGTTGCCGTGCATGGGCAGACCTGCCCCAACACAGACAGCTCCCTGTGCCCAGCCCAACCTGGCCCCTCACGTCACCCTTGGTGTCCACATCTGGGGGCCAGCATGCCTAGAGGCTGCCTGTCTGCCTCTAGCTTGTCTTGAGATTGTTCTTGGGGTTTTTTGAAAGCCCCTGGTGGGGCTGGGTGGGCAGTCTTTGACCCCAGCGCTCCCTGGCTGATGGCCCCAAGAGCTGGTTCTCAGTGTAGGGTGGGCTGATGGGCTCCCATGGGGGCCACAGCCTCTGTTCCCAATAACAGCTCCCTGTCTGCCCTGAGAGGTCTGGAACTCCCTTACCAGACTGAGCTTCTGGGGGCTCGGGCCCTGCCCTCTCTCTTGTGCCCTGTATGCCTGCACCCGGCACCAGGCTGTGTTGTAGCATCAGGGATTTGGGCGTGGGGACCAAAGTGCTGCCTAGAGCTGAGGGTCCTGGAGACACATGAGAAGGCTTCTCCCTGTGCGCCTGTGCGGCACAGGGTGGGGTGAGTCCACTCAGCTCTCTAGGAAAGGACCCACGAGCGGCAGATCCCCGGCCAAGATCTACTCATACTGTGTTCTGATCCTTTTCCAGGAAATTGTGGCTACTAATTTGCCACCTGAAGATCAAGATGGCTCTGGGGATGACTCTGACAACTTCTCTGGCTCAGGTGCAGGTGAGGTTGTCTGGGGGGCTCCACCCAATACAGCAACAGGTCATAGCTGGGGGGGGCATGTCTCCTATGTTTATGGAGCATGTACTGAGTGCACCCTGCCCACCCCGTTTCCACCCAGCCGGCTTCCAAGCATATGCTGAGGAGAGGAATGGGGTCCCTGAGCTGCCTAGTTAAGGAGAAATCATGCTTGGAGGTGAGGTGTGAAGGCTGTGGGCTCCAGAAGGCCCCAGGGCTGCCTGTAGCACACAGCCTCATGTTCACTAGGAATACCTGTACTCACTAGGAAACCTCTGGAACCCCCTTCAGAAGGTTATTTGACTCCTGAGCCTCTGTTTTCTCATCTGTAAAATGGAAATAATACCTTGACCCTATAAGCTCATCAAGCTGTAAGGCAGTGCAGAGCCTGCTGGGGTGTAGCTCTTCCATCCAGGCTCCCTTCCCTACTTCCCCTTTCCCTGGGGGAGAGAAGTCCGTGTGTGAGCTGGAGGTGGTCAAGGAGGCTTCCCAGAGGAGGTGGCTCTTGAGTGGACCTCAGAAGAGGGGTGAGAGCTAAGGAAGGAGGCTGAGGTCATCCCTGGGGAAGTGACGGAGGCAGAGGCCGGAGAGCAGCGAGGCAGGATATCTGTTGTTGGAAGCGGGGTGGGGGAGGGGGGTATGGTGTGCGTGGGGGATGGTTGTTCAGGGAGGGGCCAGAGAGGTGGGTGACCTGGGCTAAGTAGGATTAACTGAAGTAGTTATGCCCCGGAGGGATGCCCACCCCATTCCTATGGTCTCAGGAAACCTCCTTTCCAGGTGGCTTAGGCGCCTATCTCATGGCTCCAGAGACCAGGCTGCCCCTGGACACACACAGTGGGAAGGGGCAGCTCTCCTTGTCCATTTTCCAAGGAGCTTAGCCTCAGCTGCCTTGCCTAAGTACCAGTCTCCCTTGCAGCCTGAATTTGGTGGGCTCAGGTGCTCTGGGGCCTACCCGCTACCAACACACTCTGCTTCTGGTCCTGCAGGTGCTCTGCAAGATAACACCTTGCTACAGCAGACCCTCTCCACCCGGAAGGACATGTGGCTCCTGACAGCTATTCCCGTGGCTCCGGAGCCTACCAGCCTGGAGGCCACAGCTGCCTCTACCTCCACCCTGCCGGCTGAAGAGGGGCCCAAGGAGGGAGAGGCTGTAGTCCTGCTGGAAGTAGAGCCTGACCTCACCGCCCGGGAACAGGAGGCCACCCTCCCACCCAGGGAGACCACACAGCTCCCAACCACTCATCAGGCCTCAACGGCCAGAGCCACTGAGGCCCAGGAGCCCACCACCTCCCACCCCCACAGGGACATGCAACCCGGCCACCATGAGACCTCAGCTCCTGCAGGACCTGGCCAATCTGACCTTCATACTCCCCGCACAGAGGATGGAGGTCCTTCTGCCACGGAGAAGGCTGCTGAGGATGGAGCCTCCAGTCAGCTCCCAGCAGCAGAGGGATCTGGGGAGCCGGTGAGTGGCCTCTGCATTCCTTGGGACATTGGGTGCCCAACGGGTAGGTTGGCCCTAATGCCTGGCACCCGGCAGGCCCTACACCTGTGCCCTGCGGGCATCTTGTATTCCTCACCAGGAAGACAGGGCACAGGGGCCCACCATCCCCTGCTCTCAGGGCCTCGATCAGAGCAGGACAGACTAATTATGAGATCAGAGCAAAAATGCCCTTAAATATCACCCAAGAGAGGGCTCTCCAAACTTACAGCAAACTTGCAGCCCCTGCTGAAAGAGTGAGTGTTATACCAAGTCCTATATATATCTTTTTTTTTTTTTTTGAGACAAAGTTTTGCTCTGTTGCCAGGCTCCAGGCTGGAGTGCAATGGCGAAATCTCGCTTCACTGCAACCTCTGCCTCCCAGGTTCAAGCAATTCTCCTGCCTCAGCCTCCCGAGTAGGTAGGACTATAGGCGTTCACCACCATGCCTAGCTGATTTTTGTATTTTAGTAGATATCTTTTCACCATGTTGAAAACCTTGGTGTTGAAAACCATGTTGGCCAGGATGGTCTCAATCTCTTGACCTTGTGATCCGCCCACCTCGGCCTCCCAAAGTGCTGGGATTACAGGCGTGAGCCACCATGCCCGGCCGTCCTATATGTATCTTACAGCCTCATGGGGATTTTACACTTTACACTAAAATAAGCCTGCTTATTTCCAAACAAAAATGTGTGCTTTCTATCACTTTTCATGATATCTATGCCATGATCCAGCCAGGGTCCAGAGTTGATGTGGCAGGAAGGCCTGGCTTCGGGCCCTGCACGCTCTTGGTTTGGGTGCATCTGAGTGGGTGGTGCACTCAGGAACTGCTTCTGGGTCTGGCAGTGGAGCTGGTTGCTGCTGCTGGCAGTGACTGCGCCAACCCAGTCTGCCCCTGTCCTCCCACAGGACTTCACCTTTGAAACCTCCGGGGAGAGCACGGCTGTAGTGGTTGTGGAGCCTGACCACCGGAACCAATCTCCCATGGATCAGGGGGCCACGGGGGCCTCACAGGGCCTCCTGGACAGGAAGGAAGTGCTGGGAGGTGAGTTTTCTCTCAGAGGGGTGGTTGGGGGTGAATTGCTGCTGTGGGGTGGGGGTGGGGCTGACCACAGCCAAGGCCACCACTTGGGAGAGGGTCTGTGGTGGAGCCCAAGGAGCTGCTGAGCCAAGCTGGCCCTGTCTGCCCGCCCTAGGAGTCATTGCCGGAGGCCTCGTGGGGCTCATCTTTGCTGTGTGCCTGGTGGGTTTCATGCTGTACCGCATGAAGAAGAAGGACGAAGGCAGCTACTCCTTGGAGGAGCCGAAACAAGCCAATGGCGGGGCCTACCAGAAGCCCACCAAACAGGAGGAGTTCTACGCCTGACACGGGAGCCATGCGCCCCCTCCGCCCTGCCACTCACTAGGCCCCCACTTGCCTCTTCCTTGAAGAACTGTAGGCCCTGGCCTCCCCTGCCACCAGGCCACCTCCCTAGCATTCCAGTCCCTCTGGCCGCTCCTGCCCATGGAGTCCTGGGGTGTGCTGGGAGCTCCACTCTGCTTCTCTGACTTCTGCCTGACTTGGGGCACCAGGGGTTTCTCGCATAGGACCTTTCCACCATAGCCAGCACCTGGCGTCGCACCATTCTGACTCGGTTTCTCCAAACTGAAGCAGCCTCTCCACAGGCCCAGCTCTGGAGTGGGGGAGATCTGACTGCTTTGGACCTAAGTGGCCTCCTGTGGCTGGAAGATCCTGCCGGTGGGGCTTGGGGCTCACACATCTATAGCACTTAGTGGTAGGACCAAGCATCTTGGGGGTGTGGCCGCTGAGTGGCAGGGGCCAGGAGTCCGCTTTGTTTCCTGGGGAGGTCTAATCTAGATATCAACTTGTTTTTGCACATGTTTCCCCTAGTTCTTTGTTCATAGCCCAGTAGCCTTTGTCACTTCTGAGGTAACTTAAGTAAGCTGATTCGGTATCCCCCATCTTGCTTCCCTAGTCTATGGTCAGGAGACAGCGTCAGGGTTAAACTTTTTTTTCATTTATCTAGGAGAACCGAATCTGGAAGCCAAAATGTAGGCTTAGTTTGTGTGTTGTCTCTGAGTTTGTCGCTCATGTGTGCAACAGGGTATGGACTGTCCGTCTGGTGGCCCCATTTCTGGTAGTCTGTTGGCGGGCTGGCCAGTCCAGGCTGCCATGGGGCCGCTGCCTCTGTTGAGCAGTCGTGCCTGCGTCCATGAGCTCAGGGCCATGCTGAGGCCTGGGCTGCTGCCACGTTGGAGAAGCCCTTGTGAGAAGTGAATGCTGGCAGCTCAGCCTTCAAACGGACAGAGGACTGTAGGGTGGGCAGCAGGGGCCCGGAGATCCTCCTGCAGACCACGCCCGTCCTGCCTGTGGCGCTGTCTCCGAGGGATGTTTCTTCCTCCTGGAAATTGACAAGGGGCATCTTGGGCAGAGCTGGCTCTGAGTGCCTCCATCCAAGGCCAGGTTCTCCGTTAGCTCCTGCGGCCCCGCCCTGGGCCCTGGGCTGGAATCAGGAATATTTTCCAAAGAGTGATAGTCTTTTGCTTTTGGCAAAACTCTACTTAATCCAATGGGTTTTTCCCTGTACAGTAGATTTTCCAAGTGTAATAAACTTTAATATAAAGTAGTTATGTGAATGCCACTGCCTTCGCTTCTTGCCTCTGTGCTGTGTATGGACGTGACCGGACTTTTCTGCAAACACCGACGTGTTGGGAAACTTGGCTCGCATCTCTGTGCCTTCGTCTTTCCCATGGGGAGGGATTCTGGTTCCAGGGTCCCTCTATGTATTTGCTTTTTTGTTTTGGCCAAAATTCTTCTGGAGGTCGGTAGGTTCAGCCAAGGTTTTATAAGGCATTAGCAGTCAATTTCTGTGTTGCCAAGCTTCAAGCCCCATCTTCTAAATCGCAAAGGAGGGTGGATGGCCCCAGCACAGCTTGACCAGAGGCTGTGGTCCCGGCAGAGGTGTGAAGCCAAAGCCTGCCCTGCAGATATCTTGGACGCCCTCCTCCCATCCTGCTGCAGAGGCCAGAGGCCCCCAGCCCGGGGCTCCTGGAGACTCCTGCACGGGCTTATTTGACAACGTTTCAGCGGCTCTGTTGGCCACTCAGAGACAGGGGCCAGTCTGTGGATCAGAGATGCACCGCCAAGCGAAGGGAGCCTGTGCCCGGTATTCGATACTGCGACTTTCTGCCTGGAGCATATGACTGCATGTGACTCGGGGGTGGGGAAAGGGGTCGGCTGACCATGCTCAGCTGCTGGTCTGTGGGACGGTGCCCAAGCCAAAGGCTGGGTCCATTTGTGTAACGGCAATAAATGGTACTTGTCATTTCGGGCAGTGGCTGCTGTGGTGGTGGTTGAGTCTCTTCTTGGACTGGCAATGTCCTGCCCTGTTGCCTTGGGGTAGGAGTCTGGTTCTG